CAAAGATTTCATGAAAAAGCAGGTTTCCCTTAGAGGAAGCAAGCTGCACATCCATCTGGTCTTAGAGGACATGCATCCTGGATCCAGTGAGGTATGGTGATCTTAGAAGTTGGAAATTCAGGATTAGTGGTTGGCAGAAATGCATAAATCAAAAAAACTGCTGCATAAAGCAAACAAATGAAAAAAGAAAGGACATACAAAAGCAAACAATCATAATTTGTGTTGCACCGATACCAGTATGAGACAGGGCCCCGATACAGCATTAAAACATACAACATAACAAATCAGAGCGTCGAGCAGCTAGAGAGTTAAAGTAACTTGACGACAGTTTGACCCAGCATCCTAATTTCAGCGATTTTTACGCCCAATGCAGCTTTTTGTCTGGAAGATTTAGTGGACATTTTAAAATAGTTAAAATGCTTAAAGATTGAAAGATCTATAGATTTCTGTGTTATTTTTGTATTTTCTTGCTATAAATCTAGCAAAAAAAAAAACAACGCTTATTTTTTGTTCTTGCTGAGAACAAAAAATAAGCTTGGACTGGCCAAGAGTTTGGACTGGCCAAGATAAAAACATTTATTTTCCACATTTGTTTTTGGTTAGGAAATTCCCCCCTTATTTGAGGTGGAGACATTTGTACAGCGATCTATTATGTAACAGTTTGAGAATCACCTGGCAGAGGTGGTGGGAAAGTAGTATAAAGCATTTTTTCTCTCCTCATCTTTTTCAGTCTAAAAAAAAAAAAGCCCATCTGCTGTTTTCTTGTGTAAATGTGACATAAGACAATTTTGGCAGCTGAGCTTCTTGTTAAATGTAATACCCAGCAGCAAAACGCTGGACGTTTTTTGGGTTTCTCAGTTTTTGCTCAGTGTATAAGAAGTTTAAGTCGACCCACAGCTCAAAAGCTTAACCGATTGTCTCTCATTTCTTGCTTATTTTTTGGTCAACCTGAATCTGCAAATGTAACCCCTAGAAAATGCCATTTTGCAGCTCTGTAATCTAGCTACTAGGATCTACTAGAGCTACTGGAACTCCATCCCACATATGTTTCCCATACTGTTCCTATTGGGGCAGAATCTTGTGCAGAATCTGGTGTAAATATGGACATAATTTGGTGACATCAAAATCTATAAATTTATGTTCTATGTTTTTTTTTTTTCACAGAAATTAATAGTTTCATCCTGGGATTGTATCATTTTTATGTGATTGTTTTTAATGAAAAAGTTGTTGCTACAACCTTAACTCGATCAGTAGCAATCTAAGAAGGCTAACTAGACTAGCAACCAGTTTGTTAGAACAAGTTATAAAGCTAAC